AGATGCCAGGTAGGCGAAGCTTGTGATGTCTTTGTCGCTGTATTCTTGATAAATAAGCTCGTCAACAGGAGGATAATACCATTCTCGACCTGTGCTCTGTAGAGGATCGTAGCCAAAAGACTCTGCCGTGAATTCAGGTTCCTCTGGGTTGTAGTGCTCTGTCATCCTCCGTGTAAATCTGAACACGATATCACCAAACACCTCCAACAACGTACTTCCACCCATGAGTCAGTTAGTGCACGAATCCAGTTTATGGTACAACTGTGCTGCGCAATACTGAGGAAAATGTTTTTTGTTTGTTTCACAGTACTCTCATATATCATACCGAACCTACCAACTCCCAAAAGAGATAAATTTCAGATTCGTAATCATATCTTCAAGGTAGCGAACCTATTAGTCACGATTCTCCGAAAGTGGCGCCCTCAAATAACAGCTACATTGCACAACTAGCTCAACCAAAATGATCTGAATTTTGGTGCAAATGATCTTCTACAAACGTTATCACAATCGGTGAGAATACAAAACAGTCATTAGGTAATCCTTGGCCCCATTAAGCTTCCTGACATTGTTAAATTATATACATGTACCTGCCAATTATTTTATGATCACCAAATTGATAATAAGTCTTCGAATCTCATTGTGTGTCTAGTATCTGAACAACATAATTACACAACTCGAAGTGCATCCTTAGCCGGAACATCTGAATCCACGATCCTTTAGAATAAATATAATAAAATTTTGCCCAACTATTTAATGGATGCTATTACTGGAAGCACATCCCTTTATATATACGTAATAAGCCAACTAGAAAACTATTTAAAAAATACACTCAACCAGTTTTTTTTTTCTCAGTATTCATAATTTTAACATTATATATTTATTTACTCTGATTCACTCTTTCCTCTCTTATACTAGTTTTCGTTTATCCTAAATTAAATGTATTTAATTAAAGGGCACATAATTAGTTTCCTATAAATTGGCTGAAAAAGTTCACTTGGCTGGTGTACGATAGAGATGGCAATTTCATGTATTATAAAATCTGTACGGAAGCTACCAAGTCTAACGGATTGAGCAAAGCGTCCCAGGGCAGATATTTTCCAAATACTGTGCTCTTTCGACATGATGGTCTTCAAGAACACCAAATGACCAACTTGTGTCTACATGCTATTTGGCCCCAAGGGTACGGGACACATGTTCATAGATTTGGGACTGACACTCTTGGGCCTGAGACTCCGGCATAGTTTATTGGCTGTGTGAGTCCCAGGACTCACTACAGCCTTTTTCTAGATGGTTCACTGTTCCACGCGTAGCGAGGCTGGAGGCCAAGTGTCAAAGCTTAAGATCAAATTTTTTAGAGTTTACGGATATGACTTAAAGTTGCAAATAAATCATAACTAATACCACAATTTCATACACAAAATGTGATTGTGTTGGATTATGCAACCAAAAATGTCATGTTTTATAGGGGGTGAGTCATGCAATTGTCAACTTTCATTTAGGGGTGGATCACTCAGTTTTGTGTCAAATGGAAGGGGTGGGTCATGTTTTTTCTAACCACCGTATTTTCAAATGCTCCACCCCCACCCCGATACTTTTTGACCAGTCCCTAAATGAGGTAGAGCGAGCTAGGGCCACTGAACGATCAAGACAAATTCAGCCACCGAACACGATGTTAGATCCTTTTAATAACCAGTCTACAAGTAAATCAAGTATCACTTAACCGACTTAAACAGTGGCAAAACGTACAGTCAGAATAATACTCTAGATTTGTTAAGCTTTCCATCTACAGCGGAGGTTTCCGTGGCGCGTTATTAACATAAAGCTTCTTACACAGATCGGTGAAATGTCCCTCATTGGTTGGTGCTCGATTTGAAATTTCTCGTATAACATCCAATCAGGGACACCCTGAAGAGATCTACAGGGCTACGTCATCACATGATATTTAACGTTGAGCTCAAATTTTAACTATTTTTACTCGGGCTGGAGAAGACTCGAGGGCATTAAGAGGGACGAGTATTTAATCGCGCTTAGGTTTACTTAAACTGAGGCCAAAGTAATTGTGTGTGTTTTAAAGAAGTTGCGTTTAATTTCAGTTCGCAGAAATCAGTGCAGACATAGTGTTTTTACGAGCAGTTGGGCTACGTTTGTTTCGCAGCTTTGGTGCACTTTGCGTCCGGCGGTGGCCAGAGTAATTCTTTAGGTTTTGATTAAATACACATGATGGTTCTCAAAAAATCAAAACAATAATTGTTTATTTGAAGAAACGTTTTTTATTAATTTTCCCTTAACCGATTTGTTGCGACTACGAGATTCACAAATACGACATACCTTTGACTGACTTTAATAAGATCTGAAAAGGAAACGCTCTCGGCTTAGCCAAGAAGTAAATTTTCGATTTAAAAATAATCACTGTTCATCACACCGTTTCAATAAAGACTGGAATTCTCCCCTGTTATATCGAATTCCAGATCCCTCAAAGACCAAACAACTGTCTGACTGTTAGCCATCTCGATTCACGCGAAAAACTGAACCTCACGTTTGCGCGACGTTGGTAGACAGACGCGCACGTTTTGCGCGAGATCACACACAGTGTTACCGGGATACGCAAACAAAGACGACTAGCAGTGTATAGCGTGATTTACAGCACTCAGTCAGATAGTGTGGTGACGGCGTCATGAATCGCCTGCGCCACGTAGTCCACATTGTGAGTAGTGATCCCGCAGATGTTAATTCGTCCACTGTTCAGGAGGTAGATGTGGTATTTCTTAGCTAAAAACTCCACTTGCTTTACTGTAGAGAAACACAAAACAATCATTTTAATTCAAATCACGTCTTGATACTCGTTTCTCCTTGCAGGCGAGGTTAAAGATAGCTTCTCCTTTGTGATTGACATAAATTCCTTTTAGTGTCAGTTCTGAGAAAATGCTGTTACATCAAAAGGATAATTATCTTTGCAATTGTAGATGTTCCTTTTCTCTGTATGCTTGGCAAAGATATCGAGAAGACAAAGTTGGGGAATGTGGGTTTAAAGTTAGAGGTCCACAAAAACTACGTGTAGAAAATGAGACCTTTCTTTGACTACTTCCCCAACAAGAGTTGAACACAGGCCAATACAGACCACTTAATTCAAAATGCATGTTTCATCTTCGGGGTGGAGAGGTGGGTGGGATTAAGGAATCAGGATTTTTTTTCCCAATTACCCCACGCCCCTCACAAGCTGATCAACAGCTCTTCACTATTTCACCGAGCTTCGCTTTTACGATCAAGTAATTTCTACATGTGCATGCATGTTAGTGTACATGGAATATATGTATCATGTATATATGTATCATGTATCATGTAGTCATCAATTAAAATAAAATTTCTGAACCGAACTATGTGAAACACCAAGCAAACTATGCAGTCATTAAATGGATATCTTATGACTGCCAAAAACAACTGTGATCTACCTGAATACAATAGCAAGAGACTCCTCAGATTAGAACTACAATCCTACAACCATCTACATACACTGTAGCTGACATGTAGCGTTAGGTACCAGTGAATAAATACGACCAGAGTTTGGTGGCCAGATTAACTTTGCTGTGTATGCTTGCGACACAGTTTACCTAATCACCACAAGGCCCCCAAGAGTAACGCAATGAATGGCAATAACGCTGACGGATGCGTTACACAACTTACATGTACAGTAAAAGCGTGACAGTCGACTAGAGATGAGTGTTGACACTGGTCACAGCTTCGCGAATGGCTCGGCCAATGTGATCAACATTTGCTGGGGTAATACCACAAACGTTTATAGGACCAGTGTCCAGCAAATAGATGTGATGCTTTTGAGCTAAAAGCTTCACTTGGTCAACTGTAAATGACAGAAAACTGAGTGACATGTCTGTTCTCGGAAAGGATGAAAGGAAAGCACAGTTTTCAACTTTGTTCCTGGATCCATTAATAAAATGCTTTTCAAGAAAGTCGAGGTAAACGATTTACGGTGTTTAATGAGGACTGGTCAAGTCACGCTATACATGTGTCACATCAAGTTATTGACTTGTCACGTCACGCTGTCGACACGTCACGTTACACTATCGCTTTGAGTGTGTCAATACACTGTCAAAGAAGATATGTGAGGAGAAATCAAGAACACCAATAACTACCAGCCAAGTATTGATGTACCGCCAAATTCTCAGAACTGATATTTTAGGAAAAATATTGCAATCAGCACGGAGAATTATTAACTATTTTTATTCACATAACGTGACTTAGAAGCAGAAATTGAATCAGAAAGGCCATGCACTTTTCATGCATCAAGAAAGTGCATGAATTATAATTCAAATGATGTAAAATATCTTTAAGTCTAAACATTTTTCTGATACTTTGTTCTTGTTTGATGAATTAAGTTTGCCATCTGCAAGTTGTTACATTTGTACATGCACCTCAAAAATCAAACATAACTAAATTTAAGCACATCTTACAGTGTAGCTTTGTCACATAAGGAGAGCAGCATCTCAACAGGACCTTATTCTGCTCATGTTCAAGAGCAAACAATATTATCTTCAACACTCACCATTCAGCCCAGTAAATCCAAACATTCCCTTCTGGTCTACAATATGATTCCACGTTCCTGGTGTTCCAAGTTCCTTCAGCTTGTTAAAAAGCTGCTTTCGGCACTCCAGAATGCGTCCAGCCATTGACTTCAAGGTGTCGCGCCTAAAATAGTTCAAAGGTTATGACTATGATAAATATAGCAAGAAAATGACCTGAAAATGTATCTACAAATAACATGTGTTTCGACGATACTTCATGTAAGTCTTACAAATTACTATTTTACCTATGAAATGAAAAACTCAAATCTGAATTCTACAACGACTCAACAAAAACTGAGCACCCACACGACCGATAGAATATTAATTAATGAAGGCCAAAATATAAGCATGCGTTCAAAAGGAATAGTTCACATTCACAGTCTTTTGTTCTGTCATCCCAATGGAAGGCATTAGCATTAATGAACGTTCACAGGAACGACATGTATCAAAAACAATTCAAATCTCAAGGGTGGTGAAAATCAAATTTCTCCTTACAACATCAAGTTGTCAAGAAAACAACAAATGAGGAGAATACAAAAAAATTGTCACTGTAATAAGGCTACACTCTGGCCACACCCAGTCATCGGAATGGAGCTACTTGAAGGGATGATTTCACCTTCACCCTCCCCTAACTTCTTCGCGCCAAGTGTCAACTGACACTTATTTCAATTTAGAAAACAGTCCTAAATTAATACGCGCGCTGACTGGTTAAAAATAGTGTTTCTATAACTTGATAGAAACACAGAACTAGCGCAAGCTGTTGACGTAATGATGGCGCGAGCAATGAGAATTTACGTTTTGATAATCAAAGTTAACAAGTTGTTTTCCTTTTTTCGTCGCGTTGTTTTCTAAAAGAAATAGAAAACATGTTCTCCGTGTTTCTATCGAGTTTTAGTATAAATCAACTAGCGTTCTATCACGAATGGCGTTCTCTGATTGGCTACGCTACTCACTATCTATTCTGTGATAGATAGTGAGCAGCGTAGCAGTGTATCCTTGTTAACAAAATGACGGCCGCTTCTTGGCATTTTCGAAGTGTCTGTGAGGAGGATTTACATAAAGTTTTGAACGACTATCAGATTTATACTAAAACAATTAGATTATTCGCTCTCGATTGCTATGCGTGATAGAATCCCCGAGCTCATAATCTAATTGCTTAATAGCAACACTCGTGAAAGTTTGGGAGAACTCGACAGAGCTGTGGAAACACTCGCCTACGGCTCGTGTTCCCAGAGCATTTCTTGTTCTCCCAAACGTCCACTCGTGTTTCTATAACTCGATAGAAACAGGGAGGACATGTTTTCTATTTCTTAAATCAAATGCCAAAAGTGGACTTTCCAGTCAGGCTAGTGGATTCTATCAGTCATTTGCCCGATAAGGAAGAAAAGTGACGTTTCTTGGGGAAATTCTTGAGCAAATGCAAATTATAGGATGATGAACTGTAAGACAAAAACTTTTGGAGGACTAGTGAAAATGATTTTCAGGCTAGAACATCATAGTCAGAGCTTGCCCACAGAGCAAGCCAGAAACTTTGTTCTCTTTGCACTCTGCATTTACTAGTGCCAAGGTGTCAAGTCTGCATTGGGCCAAAGTGTCATTATGTTGCCAATGTATTCTGGTTCTTATAATTATATTGAATAATCAAGAGTATTTCTATTCCCCCTGGATGAGATGCTAGTCCATTACAGGGGTACCTCCAGTATTCTTCGCCTCCAAAGTCAGTCATTAAAATTGCCTTAGAACAGCAAGTTGGACCTGGAGTCCTTGAAATTCAAAGGCATATTTCTAGAGAACATACATGTCCATGCCACTATTCCAGTCCAAAAGCAATAGCAAGATGTTGTCACTGTGTTCATTTACCTACCATTCACTATTCAGAGCAGGATTGTTAAGTATAGTTGCCACAATACGAGCCCCGTGATTGGGTGGATTTGACCACATTGGACGGATGATTGCCCTAAGCTGGGTTCGAATACGTTCAGCAGTATCATTATCAGTCATCACAACACAAAGATTGCCAGCCCTTTCATCTGCAAAGACAGTGAAAATATTCTCAAACAAGGCTCAAAATTTATGCTTGCTGTGTTATTACAAGCCCCAAAACTGGTAGATAGAACAAGCCACTCTAAATTCATTAGAGCTAGAGAATGAAAAATAACAGTGTAGGAGTTTGTAATTTCAATTCCAAAACAAGAGAAGTTGTACACAGTGGTGAGCAAGTACTGGCTTTTGTGTGATCTGCATTTCCCCCTACATTCTGTTAGGATGTCAAGGCAATTTTCTGATACCCATTTATACACCTGGGTGGACTGGAGAGAGGCACTACGAGAGATACTGTAAGAGTAAGAGTGTGACCGAGAACACAACACAATGGCAGTCTCCGCTAGGGCTAAAACCTGGACCACTCAATCCAGAGTCCAGGTCATGAACCATTTAGTCACTATGCCTCACTCACTCACAACTGATCTGCAATTGCAATGTATAAGCTTATCACCTGTGATCTAGCCAAGCCTAAAAGCAGAGCTCCTGAGCCAGGTTGTTTGAAGTCTGATTAAGCTAATACAGGATAAGCGAGAATTTTGATTTGAGTTTTGTGAGGTTGTTGAGTTTTTGTGAGGCTTTCTGTTTATATTGTTTGACCTCCTGTTATGAGTTTGATTTAGAATTGAATAATCTCAAACTACACCCTCAGCCCATGACCCAAAAGCAGTGAAAAACATTTTAATTTTTGTATGCAAGAAAAAGTTAAACTTCGGTTAACTTTTAATCCTGGGTTAGCATTAACACACTTCTGAACAACTCAGCCCTGATTGTCACCCTAATTGCAACAAATTCACCCGACATGAGCTTGCGATCCTATCGAAAGCCAGTACTTGGTCAGCAGTCAACTTTATAAAACAAATGACCTCAATGAGCTCTAAACCTGAGCCCGTGATATGATCACTTGATACTGGTCAGTGGATGTCTTGTTTTGACAGGTATCAATTGACCATAACATGGATGTTGAATATCAAAGACATATGCTGAAAACCAAGACTGCCTGACTTGGTATTACATGTAGCTGGATGGCCGCTATGTTGTGCAATGTCATCGTTCATGTCGTTGGGCGCACTCGCCTGTAATCCATGCCACTAGCCATGTTGACCATGAAAAAGAGTTGCATGGGTTTCTATTAAATTTTCTATGCATGCATGTGGTTCTGTTCCTATGGTTATGGTGCTCCACTTCAGGCCCTTCAGGCTGGCTGAGCTCTGCTATTACGTTCACTAAGACTCTACTTACTGTACAGTCCAAAGTTTTTGGCAAAGGACTGTCCAACTAACAGTTCAAATCCTTCACTGACAAGGTAGCGCACAGCCCATGCATCCTCGTCTGGATCACCAGTCACAAAACCTTGATAAGCCATGTCTATCAAAGGGAACAGCTTACGCCTCTAGTAAACAACAACAACAATAACAACAAAAATTGCAATGAAAATAATGCAAAGTTAATTGGTTTGGTATTCAACAGTGTTAAAATTTAAAAAAAAATGCACCACATAATATAATTATACATGTATGTAGATCAGACTGATGTTATAGAAAGAAAATTAGAAATTGTCAATAAGTTATTATTACTATCAGTAGTTAATAAGTTAGTCAATAGCTAATCATTAAGTTAGGCAATAACTTATTTAATATCGTCTTTGTATGTAAACCACAACTGCGAGACAAATAAGTCAGAAATTATTATTCTGACAGCACAATGGGGAGCCTCAGAGTGTCATGGGACGTTTAGAGACTAATTAGGCTTTTGGCAGGAGATTTAGATCACTCTAGGTTGGTCAGGCTTTGTGTTTGTCCACTTTTTTATTGACCTTTTGTTATAACAGCTTGAGTGTATATTGTAAAATGTTCTAGCTTACTGATTTTGTACCCTTTCCTTGGGGTCTTATGCTGCTGCATTAGATGAGGATTACATTTCCACAAATTTTTTTGGCTTTATCTAATGGGTGGTTTTTAAGTGGTTTTTCATATCTGGTGTAGCACAAGTTCTAACTGTTACAACCAAATTTTGCAAGAATACAAATTATCTTGTAAGGCAGAATACATCTGCATCAGATGACTGACTAATGCATCCGCAATAAGCTATTCACATAGAATTTCTCGTGTTAGTGTGGTCAGACTTTTAATGTGATGTCAATAAATACCTCTTACTAACCAAGTTAGAGGTCCGTACTTAGCTCTTATTAACCGAGCAGCAGGTCTGTATGGGAGAATCTTGACCAAGATCTGTACACACGACCAAGGTCAAGATTCTCCCATACAGACCATCTAACCTCAGTTAATGAGATGTTTATTATATGGCAAACAAGAAAAATTTAATTCTTTTAATGTAACTGGTTTGTACTAACTGACATTTTGCTTGTGAATGGCGATGACCTGAATTTAATTCTGCCAAAGTTTTCTTGTCCTCTTTACCTTTTTTTCTCATCAGGCTTTTTGGCACTTTCATAAATAAATAATTTTAGAAGAACATAGTCAATGGTTTTTCACTTTAGTTTGCAATTCTTTCACTGCAAAACATTACCAGTCTAGATGCCGGTCTAGATGGGAAAATCTAGAGTGCTTTCAATATCGATTTCAGCCAATCAAACTCGTGAATTTGGTAGTTCCCAATCCTTGTGAGACAGAACCATATAATAATGTAAGTTACAGACCAAGTTTTGTCCCCTTTGATTTATGGCCCAAGCACGAAGTGTGTGGGCCATAAATTGATGGGGAAAAAACGAGGATCTGTAACTTACAGTACAGACCGAGAAGACGAGGTTTGTAAGATATTTATTATTCATATCTCTACTGTGTGCCTTCAGGACAGGTTTGGGAACGATTTACATTCATGAGGAATGGCTTCAAACCTCTGACGCACCTCAAAGGCAAAATGAGTCAATTTGAATTTGTTTTTAAGTTGTTAGCATGCTTTAACACACAATTTAGAGTAAAAGAAAGTTTTAAACTTTTACTTGCTATAAAAGTCAAGAACACTTGGGGATAAATCACAAAACAATTTGGCAACAAAAGCAACTTTAAATTTTAGCGGCCCTACAGAAAAATACAGCCCACTAAATTGACCAATCACAGCATGCATACTAACTGAGAGATATAATAATAAAGATTTATGCATTGCAGATACTGTTTACAATACCTTCATGATCTCAGCTATCTTCTTCCACTGCTCCTTAGAGGGATCTACTCCAGTTGGATTGTGTGCACAAGCATGAAGCAAGATGATGGCATTTTCTGGAGCTGCCTGAAAAAGTTGCAAGAACAGTCAACTTGCATTATAGCAGACATCCTTGCGACCATCATTATTTTGGTGTCTGTAATAGCAAGAGTCTGCAATAGCAGGAGAT